ACCTTTCCTGTGATAATGCCCCTCTAGAAGTAGTGTTATCATTCTTCTATCTCCTATTAGGTGAGATCACATTGTACGATGTATTTCTAATATGAACTGCTTCACATGAAACACTCTACATACTATTCTCACCAAACTGTGATAACTGTGATTAAATTCAGTGTAAACAAATGCCATATGTTGCCACCCCTAAAAAATTCCTGCCCCCCTCTTGCCACCCCATAAATATTTTTCTAGATCCGCCCCTGTACATCAAATGGTTGGAAAGAGGCTGTGATACGAAAACGTGTCGTTTTGGATTTTCGAAAACTCTCCCATTGGATTTGTATTGAGGGAGTTTGGACTTCTTGGTGGTCTGGGCCAAACTGTAGGAAAACTATACATCCCACACCGATGAAGGTTACAATTCCTGAATCCTGACAAAAATACCTACATTTTGATTTATAATTTTTATGGCTAGTGTAAACATTCAGAAAGAAAGCAAAAGTTATTTGCCAAAAGTAAAATGTTTAAAAAGCGCTAGAATGGCCCACTCTAAAACCAACGATCTTTAAAAAATTTTAAAAACTTTGAAACTTCACTGAAACCAAACAGTAAAAGCTAGCAAAAAGCTGAGTTAAACATTAGTAGCTGAAGGTCACGGAAACGTTTTAAAATTTGAATTTATTTCTAGCTGAAAGTATGCAGAAGTAGTAAAAGGGCAAAGTAGCTGAAGTTTTAGTGGGTTTTTGGCAGAATCCTATTCATTTCTAAGGGTAAAAAAACCCCATAAAAAGCTCAATATTTCTAAAATTATAATAGCTGAAATCACCAAAGGACAAAGCCTAACCCTCCAGAAGAAGCTGAACGTTTGATACCAAAATTGTTGTAATCGGCTAAAGTATGCAGGACTAGTTAGAGACGGATGAAGAGAAACAGGAAAACGATAAGTGACATGAATGAATCCATGGACCATCATACAGCGTTCCAAAGCATGAACCGACTTCTAAAAGTATTCAACCCCTCTGCCACTTTTCCTCGTTTCTTTCCTCCAACCTGGAATTAAATGGATTGGTTACAGTTTGCAGTATTTATCTTACAGGTCATTCCTAAAACATGAGAGGTAGGCTGACCAAGGAGCTTTCATGTCTTCCAGGGAAACGGACATGAGCGAGATTTTCTGGACGACCGGCGAGTTTTCATCATGGACGTGTATAATCACAACATCTATCCTGGGGACGGATTCGCCAAACGTGAGTTCCTCCTGCTTCTTCCATCTGGGCTGGGCTCCCTGCTGATCCTGTGGGTACAGACGGAGCCCCCTGCAGGAAGCAGCTGGTACCGCAGGTCTGATGAATCAGACACGTTGGGGCTGGCGTTGGAAGGGCTCCAGGTGGTCAGGAGGAACCAGGCTGAACCTTCTCTACCATCCATTTTATCTCCAGGGGCCATAAAGAGGAAGGTGGAGCTGGAATGGGGCACCGAGGACTCGGAGTACCTTCAGAAGGTTGAGCTCCACTGTGAGGGAGCGCTGAACGAGCTGCGTCCTGACGTCATCGTTTATAACGCAGGGACGGACATCTTGGATGGGGATCCCCTGGGAGGCCTCTCCATATCGCCTCAGGTACTCAGATCTGAATGCAGACCTGCAGCAGCAGCAGGGGTCACCTGAGGTCATAGAAAATCCTAGTCTGAGCGGATAAATGACCAGGAGGAGGAAATCCACCAGATGATTTATAAATGTCCCTCACATCATCCATCCATCATCCATCCATCCA